AGAATAAGGGGTTTAGGCAATCTGCTCCAGGAGGCATTTCTGTCCTATGTACATATGAGGGTGGATCTTGGCTTCTCCAGGGCATAGCAGTTTGATGAAACTCTTCTGAAACTCATGTGGCATAAAGGGTACAGAACAGGGTTGATCGCCGAATTCAGCCAGAGGAGCCAGAAAGACATCTCATGGAGGGAGTGCTGGATGCATATCTCATGGAGGGAGTGCTGGATGCATATCCCATGGCAGGCAGCTCGGATGATCATGAGCAATGTGTAGGGTGCCCAGCACAGGCCAAACACACATGATGATGGCTAGCCACCTGGCCACTTGCTTAATCTGGAAGAGCTGCAGGCGGCTGGCCAGTGAGCTGGAGAGGTCTGGCTGTCTCTGGGCAATGCAGACACTCTTGCTGGCCCTGTAGTTGTTCTGTTGCCAGTGTGCTGCTTTGGCTTGGATGTCTACCTGCAGAGGTGGTAAATCTTGAGTCCCAGGGACATCCAAGGAAAGACCCTTGTGTCTGGGGAAGAGTACCTGGTCTCTCTTCTTCCTGCTCCTCGTCTCAACTAGTTTAACAAAAAGTATAATGTGTTTTTTCTCCCCTGGAAGTTCATCTCCGAGTTGTCTTGGCTCTGGGCAATGTTGTTCCTCCTCAGGGAGGTGCGCTTCTGAATGTTGATGTAGATGCTCAAGTTGAAGTAAGTGACGCTGATAAAGGGAGTGAAGAATTCGATGATGGAGGTCGTCATCAGGAACTACCAGTTGTAGAAGAACTCAGCATAGCACTCCCCCCGAGGCAGGATGCTCCTTTTGGCCACATATGCCCAACCAATGATGGCAGGTCCATAGACGAGGAATGCCACCACCCACCAACTCGAAAACAATATTCCTGGTCATGCCCTTCTGAGCTCTGTAAGTCACCTAAAAGGAAACAGCAGAGGCCGGTAAGAGGGGAAGTTGAGGCACCTTCACTCACTCAGCCTGGTACAGCATGGTGCCAATGGTGAGGTCGGATATTAGTGGTTGAGCTAGCCAGTGTCTGGGGGCTGGGAGAGGTTCTACTTCCCTATCAGCCAACTCTTCCCTAGCTCTACTCTGCCACTCCAAGGGGCCTCCGTGCAATGGGTGAAAAGCCTCCCTCTTGCGGACACAACTCAAAGTCTGCTCATTTGGATGTTAGTGGTATTCCTCCACGTATGAAAGCATACATTTTCAACACCTCTGAGAACATGTATACATTATATACATAATTCGCTCAACATCCACAAATGGAATAGCACTGTGTTGCACCGTGCTTCTTCCAACTTTAAGTACATCCTGCTGTTAACTTTATGTGCTCACTCTGTATTTTTATTTTTGATCAGTCCAGTCCCACCTACTGTTCCTGTAGGTGGCACAAGGTCTCAGTGACCAAGAGTAGAGGCTCTGGAGTCAGGTGGCTTGAATTTAAATGCCCACTATCACTTGGCTAGCTGTTTGTCCTAGGCAACTTAGTTAACCTCTGTGTGCCTCAGTTTCTTCATGTATAAGATGGGACACCTTTACCTGGACCACAGGGTTGTCATGACCCTATATATATCAGCTCTTGGATATAATCCATATAAAGTTCTTTAAATAGTATCTGACTTAAAATAGGCCATCAAATATTACGTATCATTCTTACTGAGCATAAAAATATCTGTAAGGGCAGAAGCATGAAATAAATGTTCTTGGTTTTTTTCTCCCCTGTATCTTTGGTGTGCAGAAAAAGTTCTGAGATGGTGAGAGAGAACTGTGAAAATGAAAGGTTCTTTGAAGATTGGAGAGATGGGCATTTTCCCCCAACTGGGCTGCCATATTGAAGACCCTTTGGGAATGTGTGTCACTGAAGCAGAAGACCCAGCCCTCTACATGGTTCAATGCAGAACATTTAATACTACTAATTAGGCCATCTTACTCTGTATGCCCTCAGTGTACCCCAAAGCCTTTCATTCATAGCAAAGGAAACCTAATCGCCAATGGATTACAGGAGAGTGAGCCCAAGTAATGTTTACTTTGGGCTCATTTAGAAAATGCCACTTTAAATGATGTTGGTACTTAGGAAATTATTTTGGTCAAATACAGTGAAAATGTAATAAACAGTAACAGAGATGAGAGACAGGGATGAGCTGGCCTAGAGCAGTGACGAAAGGCAATGAATCTCATTCTTGGTTGTACCTTCTAATACCTTATAATCACCTGATGGCCTTTTTAAAAATGCCAAGCTTGCCCCCCACCTCTAAGCCCATTAAGTCTAAATATGTAATAATAATAATAAAAAAAAGTGCTTCCCAAATGGGTTGGAAATTGCAGCTGGAAAAAGCAAATTGCCTGAGTGCCACAGAGTGGACTTAGCGATGGATGGCTCTCTCTGCCAAAGCTTCTAATTTTCCTATAGTGAACATAGATTACTTGAACAAAAGATAAAAGGAATTTTCATAAAAGCCCCAAAGGAAAATGCTTTAAATGCAATAAAAATGCTTTTTTTTTTTTCCTCTTCTGTCTCATTTAAGGTTCAGTTTTGCCCCAGATGATTAATTTCTTTGGGTCTTATCATCCCTGTGTGCAAAATAGGGATAAAAATCTTTAGTTTCTACCTTACAGGGAGGTGAGGACCAAAAGAATTAGCCATCATAGAGGTTAGAGCCAAAGGGCTTTTAACCCCTCACTTTCCTAATGGCAAACAAGTACACAGAGGTGCTGTGATGTGCCAAAGGCACACAATGTGTTGTGTCGTAAATCAAGAGTGGACCCTAGGTCTCCTGACTCCTGGACCAGCCTAAAAAGCACCACTGTGAGTGCAATGTACTTGTGATTGCTCATGCAAACCCTTCCCTTTGCTATCTGCTCTGGAAATACTGAAGTATTTTCCCTTCCCACCCAGCACTGTTTCTGGGGAGGCAGCCATGAATACTTACCAGGGAGGACAAAAAGCCACTTGGCACCCATATTACCTTTACACCAGGCCTTGAATGTGGACTTTGGATCATGCCTCCAGATGAGGTTATGCTTTCATTAAATCAGTACCTATGCCTAGCACTGTTACAAGCAAGCACTGGGAAAACATCAGGTAGCAAGACCCCTGCCCCCTTAGAGCTTGGGTTCTAGTGAAGAAGACAGACCTCGAATACAGCGTCCAGCCGTGATAAGCATGAGTATAGCAGGGAAGGAGAACTGGAGAAGGTGAGGGCTGTTATTTGACACAGATGACCAAGGAAGTCTCTGAGGAGGTGACAGTTGAGCAGAGGCGTGGACTCAGGGTGAGAACAATGGATGGAAAGAGAAAGATGCCTTAATAGGACTTCACGTTTGCATCCTTCCTGACCATACTCATGACCATAACACCTAGGGTACACTTCATACGGATAAAAATAAATCATGTGAAAGGCACAGTTTATATTGCATTTTAACTCTTTAATTTGTTAAATGTATTTAAAACGGATATCAGTATTTGTAACCTAGTTTTAGCATCTCCTTTTCTTTTCCCTTTGAATATCTGGGGTTCTGAAAATATATGGAAATCGTATGGTGGTTTCTCTCCGCCACTAGCCCAGCAACTCCAAACCGACTGTGTCCCTGGCAGTCCTCCACGCCAGCGGGTTTGTGTAGAACCTCTGGCCTTCTTTCCGCCCTGGTGACAGAGGTGAACCTGTCATAGCTGATGAGGACAATATTGAAGGCCGAGGAGGTGCTCACCAGGTAATCCATCGCTAGTCACAATTTACACAGCTCCTTCCCGAACTTCCACTTCCCGGTCAGGACGTAGGGGATGTACAGTGGGATGCAGAAGCCGCCTGCGGACACAGGGGAGCGGTGGCCGGGCTGCCAGCTCCAGCCTGGCCTGGGGTGCCCCAAGGCGCCCCAACTCTTGAGGGAGACTTTCGAGCGCAGGGTTCTCCTCTGCAGGGCTACTTGTATGCCGCCGGTCCCTAGACCGCACTCACCCACCAGAGGTCGGCGACAGCCAAATTGAGGAGGAAGTTGTCGCTGGAGCGCAGGCTGCGGTCCACGGCAAAGACCACCACGATCAGTGAGTTGCCCAGCACCGTGGCCAGCGCCAGCAGCGCCCTGAGCGCCGCCAGCAGCGCGGCCACCGGCGCCGAGAAGTGGCCGGCGTGCCTTCCGGAGTGTAGCCCTGACTGGAGCCCCAGCCCGGTAACGCACGCGTTGCCCGATGCGTTCGGCTCCATGCTGTAGGTGTCAGGGATGCCGGGGGCTGGCGAAGGGAGCCCGTGGGCAGGGGGCGCGCGGCTGGAGCCGGCGCCTGGCCGGTGGGGATCTAGGGGGCGCAGCGGGAGGAAGTGGGGCGGAGAGACGGCTGCCTGCAGCCAGGACAGGGCTGGGACGCTGGGGACCGGGCCCCTGGCCTGTAGGGTAGGGACCACCAGTGGGCTGGGTCCGGAACACCTGGGGCGGGGCCGGAGTCGGGGTGCCTAGTTGGGGACAGCCGGCTGGCTGGGGAGCAGCTGAGCGGGGAGTTGCCAGGGGACTGGGGTGGGAGGAGTCGGGGGCCGCTGGCGGTGGGGGCAGGGGACCCTGCGGGGCGGGGAGCGGGGGGGAGGTGGAGGGTTCGCGCTGCGCCGCGGTCTAGCTCCCCTCGGCGAATGCAGGGAGGTTGAGTCTTCCAAGCAAGTTGTTACTACTATTTTTCCGAACAGGAATAGTTTTGTTTCATTATGTTTTATCGTAAAAGTAGTATGTGCACTTATAAAACAAGCAATACAGAAGGGCATCAAGTGGAAGCAAAATTTCTACCGTTATCTCCTCCCTGAGATACCCACTTTGAACATTTGGGTTTAAATCCTTCCAGGCTTCATGCCCTCCCCCCTTTTTACCCCCCAACTCTTCCCTCCTCCACAGAACTAGACAGACAAAACAAACATGCAAAAAACCCAAAACGCATAGATTTGGGGTGGGGGTGGAATGGGGTTTGGCTATTTTGATTTATAATCTGCTTTTTCTCCCCATGAAATAATAAATCTGGACATTTCCCCACATCCATACGGAATACAGGTAACCATTATTATCTTTAATGATATCATTTTTCCATTATATGGATGAGCATATTTCCCCAATTTGTTGATAGACAACTATCAATTGTTTCTGTTTTGTTCGATTTTGCTTGTGTATCTTTGTTCACTTATCTACATAATTTCCTCAGGGGAAATTAATGGAAACAGAATTGCTGGGACAAAAGGAATGCAATAGTATAAAATACTATTTTACAACATGTTGCCAGGTTGCCAGGTTGGTAGAAAAGTTGTTCTAATTTACCATTGAAAAAACCATTTAAAATTTTTTTTCACAGTGGTGTGACACTGAATACAGGAAACTTCAATTACAGTAGAGGCAGGAGGACAAGGGACACCTGTTAAGCATCTTGATTTCAGCTCAGGTTTGTGTGAGCCCCACATCAGGCTTTGTGCTGACAGTGTGGTACCTGCTTGGGATTCTCTCTCCCCCTCTCTCTCCCCCTCCCTTGCTCACTCTCTGTCTCTCTCTCAATTAATTAATTAATTACTTAAAAAAAATAAAATAGAGGCAGGAGGCCAGAAGGGGAGATCTCACCCCTTATCAACTCTAGGACAATTGCAGATCCCAACAGAAAGATCCATGCCTTGCATTTTCCAACAGGAAGAAACCTACTTTATTACCCCAGCAAGCAGGAGGAAGATTTTTCTCCTTGCTTAACAGCAGACTAGCCAATGAGAAACTGCCACAACTTAGCCAATGAGAAACTGTAATCACCCTTCTCAGTTTCCTCTAATGGACTTTTATCCAAAGCTGCCCCTCCCAACTTCCCTTTCCCCTATAATGTTCCTTTCCTTTGTTCTCTGGACTAGCCTATGATTTTGCTTTGGCTTGCATGTCCAAATTGCAATTCCTCTGCCATTTCTGAATAAACCCATTTTGCTGGTAAAGTAACTGGTTGTTTTTATTTTCAAGGTTGACAGTAGGTAGTGATTGTGTGGGGTCTTAGTTTGGCTTCCTAGAGCTCCCTCTCACCTTAGCCCCTTTGTTTCTCCAGCATAGACAGTCCTTCCCTGTGGCGAATTGGCTCAGAGTGGACTACCTGTCAGGACTACTAGGACTGGGAGTAATGGCCTCTTAGAGAGGGGGAAGAGGTTGGAAGACTGTACCTTAACACTTTTATCCCCGGGGTTGGGGCAGAATCTGTCAGGAAGCTCCTCCCTGTGGTTTGGGGTGTGTGGGCATGGGGAGAGGTATGTGTAAAGAGGGGATGTGTATAAATTATGCAGATGGCAGCTGCTTTATCTGTCCTGTTATTTGCCTCTTGCAGACCAGTTTGTTCTGGTGGTGGGAAAAGTGACCCAATGTCACGGATACAAATTCTTGGGCCACAGAGCAGGGATGGGCCCTTGGGGATTATTTGTGCAATGACTCTCAAGCTTTTTGAACCACAACCCACCTAGAATATACTGTTTACATTATAACCCAATGTGTACACATACTGTACACATGTGCATGTACACACATATTGGTGAGGAAAAAGTAAAACAAAAACAGCGACTGCCCTTAGTATGATGCATTCTGATATTTTTGGTTCTACTCTATGTTTTATTATTAGTTTTTAAATGCTGGTCTTGACCCACTACATTTATTTTGTGATCCTCAACTGGCTGTCAGCCTGCATTTGAGAAACAGTCATCTAGCTAATCTAGTTGAATCCACTCATTTTACACATGGGAACATGGGCCAGAATGGGAAGATACTCAGTTGGGGACATCCAGGGAGTTATCGTTGAGCAGAGCTGGTTCCAGACTGATGTTGACAGACATGGCCAGCAGAGAGATGACTGTCCCTCTCGTGGCAGCAATGATGTTTGAGGCAGGAAACAACTCTGATGATTGAGGAAGAAAGAAACAAGCCAGCATTTATCTCCTTTCTTGTCTACTAATTGCCTCTTCATTTGCTGAAAAAATACTTTGGGCCTGGTGGAAATGACACTTGGAGCAGATTGATGGGCCCCTCTCCCACCAACCAGGGGCTGAGAATCCATCTAGGCCAGTTTAAATGGGAAAAGTGATGGCAGGTCATGTAGAAGATGCAGGTAGTACTACTCCTGTTGTCTGTCTGTAAGAAGACAGGAGAATGGGGTCTAGAAGGCATATACTTCTCCCTCCCCTTCAGGTATTGGGTAGCTAGGGGACCATGCTAAAGAGTTAATCCCTGTTTGTTGTGTATGTGTGCTACATTTGTTTCAGAGGGCCAGGCTATACCTTCACAGTGCCTCAGGGGCTGGGACTCATGCAAAGAGCCTTAGGGTTGACACTGCTGCCCCACTGGTCCTGGAAGGCAGGGTATCCAGGCAGAGAATCGTTCTTGAGCCTTGGATTCATCAGTTTGGCCTGCCGAAACAGAATACCATAGACTGGGTGGCTTCAACAACAAATATTTCTGACAGTTCCAGAGGCTGGAAAGAACAACATCAAGCTGCTGGCAGATCTGGTGAGGACGTACTTCCTGGTTTGCAGATGACCATCTTCTCATATCTTCGAGTAGAAAGATATTGTGTCTCTTCCTCTTTTATAAGGGCATTAATTCTTTAAGACCTAATATAACCATAGTTCCCTCCCAAATGCCCCACTTCTAAATGCTATTACACTGGGAATTAGTGTTTTAACATATACACTTTGGCATGGGGGTTGGAGGACACATGAACATTCAGTCCATAGCAAGCATTAAGATCCAACGGAATTTGCCTTGCTAGGCTCTGGTCTTGCTTGGAATCTGTCACCCCTTTCTTTCTGATGTCTCCCTTTTGGAATAGGAAAGTCAATTCTATGCCTGTCTCACCATGGTAATTTGGAAGCACACAGCTTGTCTGGTTCCACAGGCTTACAACTGGACCGGAGTTTTGTCTCAGGATGAATCACACCCCGAGGAGGTGTAACTAAGAAACCAAATCTGGCACAAAAAAGAAAAGGAAATCATTTGCTCTTTTTTGAAGTGGAAGTAAAATGATTTTTATTATTGCTATTGTTATTTTGGTGTCTGAGCTTTGCAATGTGAAAGGAGCTGACTTTACTTGTCTGCCAGGCTGTGTGGGGCTGTTGCATGTAGAATCAGAGCAGAGGAGGAAACCTGACATGGGGGCAGAGCTGTCTTCATTCCCTGGGCTCCTGCACAGCTCTGTCCACCATCTCAGCCTTCAAACCAGTTACTACTTACATGTGCTTTCTTGGGAGTGGAGTGAAATCATGGCTTTAGTAACCAGACTTGAGTTTAAATCATGGCTCTACCACTTACTTGTTAGAAGACCCCAAGCAAAGTTTAGAACCCCTAAGTCTCATTTGATCAGCTGTCAAATGGCAATAATAGTAACTGGTAGCATTGTTATAAAGATTATTGGACAATGGGCACATATTGCATGGCACACAGCAAGTATGACATAAATGGTAGCTCTTATAGCCAAGATGTTAGCTGAGGTCTGTAGGCCTCTTGAGTTAGAGATAAAATTTCTTGAATCCTAGCACACCTGGAGGAATCTAAAACTTCCCCAATGTTCCTGAAAATCCACAGAAGGCTTTTGTTCCAAGGGTCACTCATATCTGGCTTGGAACTCACCTTTTTCTTGATGAGGTTGTCTCACATCTGTGCCATCTCTCTTGTGAGTCATATCAACTCAAAATGAAACTCAACTCCTGTCTTGATTTCCCCAATGCCCCATCCCTCAAGATTTGGGGAGGAGATCCAGGAGGAGTTTATGTCTCATAAATATAATCTTAGCAGCTTCAAATGGAACATTAGGCCTTCCTGTTCTGAAAATGTCTGTCAGCTACCTCCACCAGGATGTTTTTGGACTTCTTCGCTCCCACAGTGTCCCAACATCACACTATTTCCCTGGCTCCCCTCTCTATACTCCCTTTTCTGAGAGCAAAATATATTTTCCCTTTTCTCATGATTATCAGACTAGCTATCTTTTTCCACTTTCTAGGTTTCTGCCAATACTTATTGCTCAAAAAGATTATCAAGCCATTTATGGATCAAAAACCATCCCTACCCCAGTGGCAACTGAAATTTATACTCCCCTCTCCTGCATTATTACTGTTTGTTATTTAAATTTTATTACAGGATAAAACACAAAATTCTTTTTGTAGACCCAGAAAATCCAAGTGATTCATTTAAAAATCTATTAATAGTAATATGAGCTCAATAGAGTGGATAGATTCAACTATATGAATGGAAATCAATAGCTCTGTTATACACTAGCAATAACCATTTAGAATTTTGTTGCAAAAAAAAAATCCCATTTGCCATGGCAACACAAGCCACAAATACTTATGAATAAACCTAACAAGTAATTGTGCAATAGTGTGAAGAAAAATGTTAACTTTATTGAAAGACTTAGAAAAACCACCAAATAAAGGTAGAGACAAATGTTTCCTCCTTTTTAAGACCCAACAGTGTAAATATATATTCTTCAATTAATCTATAAATTTATTTCAATCCCAACTAAGTCCCAACAAGTTAGTTGAGCAAAGTTTACATGGGAAGAAAAATGCACAAAAATAGCCAAGACATTTTTAAAAAAAGATAGAAGAGAATTGTCCTAGTGCATATTAAAATATTATAACCCTATAGTGATTAAGATGGTTCAGGAATCATGGGGCACCTTGGTGCCTCAGTCAGTTAAGCGACTGACCTGATTTTGGCTCAGGTCATGATTTCACAGTTCGAGGGTTTGAGCCCCCTGTAGGGCTCTGCGCTGACAGTGTGGAGCCTGCTTGGGATTCTCTCTCTCCCTTTCTCGCTCTGCTCCTACCCCCCCCCCAAATAAATAAATAAACTTTAAGAAAAAAGAAAAGATGGTTCAAGAATAAAAAAATATAATGCAAAAATGCAGAATTCAGAAGCATGTATATATGGAATGTAGTTTATGATCAAGATGACATTTCTTTGTGAAAAAAGATCATACAACACATTTGTTTTAAACAAAGGGCTGAAATTTAGGAAAAATAATGTGAAATCCTGAATCTTATACAAGGGAGAAAAATATTCCAGATGAATTAAGAAACTAAATGTAAAAATGAACAAAACTTTAAAATACTTAAAAAAAAATCATCTTGAGATGGGGAAGACCTATCCAGAAGCTATAAAGAAACAAATGGACAAATTTGACCTTAGTCAAAACTGTATAGTTCAAAACTTCTATAAAATGACAGATGCTAATCGCAGTCATAAAAATATTTTTCAAAGAATTAATATCTAGAATATATAGAGCACTTTTACAAATCAATAAGAAACAAACACAAATGTCCAAAGAATATGAGTAAGTTATTTAAAGGAGACCTACACATGACTTATAAACATACAAAATGATGTCACCATCACTAGCAATCAAATTAAATGCAAATGAGAACAAGACAGCTTTTATAGCCCATGATGATTGGAATCATTTAAAATGGTTGATAATAGCTGTGATTGACAAATATGCACGAAAATGGGCACTCACTTATGGGTGGCAGTATAAATTAGTGTCAAAGGGTAAAATTCTTGTACTTTTTAACCCAGGAATTTCACTTCTAGAATCTATCAAAAATAATCACACATGTATAAAGATGTATGCAAAAAGATGTCTGTTGCAACACTTCTTGTAATGATCAAGTGTTGGAAGAGACCTAAATGTCCATCGATATAGAAATGAATAAATAGGGGTGCCTCGTGGCTCAGCCAGTTAAGTATCCGACTTTGGCTCAAGTCATGATCTCACCGTTTGTGAGTTTGACCCCCGTGTTGGGCTTTGTGCTGACAGTTTGGAGCCTGGAGCCTGGAGCCTGCTTTGTCTCCCTCTCTCTCTGCTCCTCCCCTGCTCATATTCTCTCTCTCTCTCTCCCTCTCTCTCTCTCTCTCTCTCTCTCTCTCAAAAATAAATAAACATAAAAAAATTAAAAAAAGA